ACAACGTTTACCCACCATAGGGAACGAAGGTGGACAATGACACTAACTTGCGAACTCTGCATCTTCCGAGGTATGAAACATGATTCTCTTATGGTGACAATCCATGATACTATGATAGGAAGACAATAAGTCCATTCTGAAGATTATGTCATATCTGATTATCTCTAAGACAATTAAGTTCACAATCAACTCATTGTCTTCAATTCAAATCAGACAATTCTTGCACGCCTTAGCTGTTTCCAAGCAATCCCCTGTAGGTAAGTTTACACACAACGTGCGACCCAAATGTTCGAATTCTAATCCTAAGGCAGTAACATATGAAGTGTGAATAAAAGAATGGGTGCCTCCGGATCAAACAAAATATGTACTCAAGAATTGTAAAGAAGAACAATACTTTTAATCACTTCGTTAGAGACATTGCCATCTGGTATGGTCATAGTGTAGATTCAAGGTTGGACTTCAGTAACTACCGCTTTGCTTCTTGGCTTTTTCTGGTGTGATTGGTTTGGAAATGACTGTAAATGTCTTGCTTGTGTGACGGTCCTACTGTTTGAGTAGGGTAAGGATGTTGTGGATGAAATTGATTAAATTGCTAATAAAAACCTTGGTTAGTTTGCCCCTAAGATGATATTAAGGGACATTGAATTTTGTAGTGACTTGTACTCCCCCGACCAAAACTATGTCTTGTATCATTAGAGGTTCTGTCCCCATTACCAGAACTCTATCCTTATTTTGAACCTCTCATTCTATTGGTACCTTGCTCTGGACGCTTGTACGGGGTTGTCTTTTGGCAATTACCACCATTGCCACTATTCTTAGTGACTTCCCTAATCATGTTGTTGATTCCTAATATTTTGAGTATCCTTCAGGTCTTTTCTTACAGGCGTCGTTGGTTCCACTAGTTTCTTATAATTTCTCAGTTGATGAACTATGAGGTGTCCTTGTATAGGAGGCTTAGGGCCTTGTTCAAATTGCTTGGTCTTCTTTGCCTTAGGTGTGACTAATGCGGTGGCAAAGCGAGACAGTTCAACAAACCTATCCCTTTTCTTAATTTTGCATATGTGAAACTCTCAATCTACTTCTTATGCTTGATAACCTGTGCAATTTACCATTGTATTAAGTAACCTAGGAAGATGTAATGGTCAATTTGTGAAATTACCTGCTTGTTAAGGGGTTAACTTTTAGTTTTTGTGCCTATTAAGTAGGGGTGTCAAACATGTCGGGTTGATTTCGAGTTTGTGTCAAAAATTTTAAAACTTAAACCTGACATATTTAATAATCGTATCTAGATGTGTAAACACTAACCTGACCTAGCTATTAAATGGGTTACCATAATCTGACCTGTTTGACACGTTTAATAAACAAGGCCTTTTTAGGTTAGCATACATGTTATTTTGACATGTTTAGCAAACAGAATAGAGACATGTTTAACACACATAACCTATTTTCACACCTGTTCATTGTCATTAAATACATCATTTAATCATTCATCCAAAATTTCAAATAATGTTTTTGCAAATAACATATTACATCTCATCAATGAAATTAACTAAAATACATTCAAGTTTCAACCCAAAAATTAAAGCAAGAACTATATTAATTTATTGTCATAATAATGTTATGAACTATATTGACAATTATCATAGTAGAAAAACTAATAAGTAAAGATCACATCAGTCATATATAATAAACAAACTATATTGCCATAAATGGGTCTATAATGAGTTGGATTGGATTCGTGTTTGAATCATATCAACTCGTTTAAAATATACGAGTAAATCAGGTCAAAATTAGGTTGACTTGATTTTGGCATGAACCTCATGATTTTTTTTGTGTTTAAGCGTGTTGACCTGTTTTAACCTATTAATTTGTTTAATTTTGTGTCTGACTCATTAATTTCGTGTTCGGTTCGTGTCGTGTTAACGTGTCGTGTCGAAAATTGACAACTCTAGTATTAAGGGCAACAGGAAGAGAATTTCAGTTTTGGTAATTCTTTTTGGAAATCTCTGTTTTATTCCCAACTAAGTTCTATCGATAGTTATGTCTATTGACAACCTTGTTTAATATTAGGGGTATTTTGGTGTATAATTTGGCTTTAGCGAGTTCTAATGACTAGGTGGAATGAATACTTGGTATATTGTACTTCAAATCATGTTGTTCATAAAATAGCGAACGACAGGTTTAAGTTGTTTAGAGAAATGTTACAATTAGGCTAGTCAGTGGATCGGATCTTAGTCAGAATTCGATTTGGATCTGAATATGTGTAAGCAGATATGGGTTGGTATTCTAATATGTTAATCCGAATTCGTTTAAGAGACTTTAATTGGATTTGGATATGGATACATAATAATTTGATCCATATACGTGTAAAAAATACATGAAATGCCTACGAAGTGATTATTGTCAATTGACACACGCATCGTTTAAAAAAAATACTGACACACGCCAACTAAAAGTAGAAGTGAGAATTGAAAAAGTGATCCTTTATCTTCAGACTTTCCCATTTGTTTCTCTCTGTTTGTTCTTTATCTTTTCTCTCAATTTCTCTGGTCCTTTCTAGATCTCTCTTTCGCCTCATTGTAAACCCTGGGTAAATTTGAACTTCTATGAAAAGGGACAAAATGGTAAATTGTCACTGTGGTACGTGTTACAAACCTGAATTTTTTTAGAGCTTGGATGACAAAATGGACCTTACCGTTGGATTCATCTTGCGAAATTTAGCTACCATATCAATTTTCTTCGAATTCTGAGATAGTTGAATTTTTTACGTTTTACGAGGCAATCGGGTCTCGGATGACCAAAAAAAGAAATTTTTAATAAAATTTTGAAAGTTGAAAAACAATTTAAAGAAAGTTCATATAAAATATTTTGAACTTGAATAGGAACGAAATTTAATCGTTTCGGGGTGAAAAACAGACCCGAGAATAAGAGGACATGTGACGTATTGTGGACGAAGCAATTAAAGGGTGTAAAAAGGGAGAGAAAATTAGATTTTTTGTCATTTCTTTTTGTTGGTTCAACGTTGGAGAGGAGAGGGAAAAAGAGAAAAAATCTAACTTCTCTATACGATTTATGTCTTTCCGTTGCTCGAATCAACACGAGCCAAAAATTAAAGTTGTTCTACTCGTCAAGGGCTATGCCTACGTACCAAAAAGAGCGAATTTCACTAAAGTTTTCGAGACGAAATTTTAGAGAAATCAAGGTTTAAGCTTGGGGTGTATTTTTGAAGCTTCCCAACGTTCTTTTACGTTTCAAGAGGTAGAGTTTGTCTCCCTAATTTAATTTTAGTATGAATTGGTGATTAGAAATTGCTAAGTATGTAATTTCTTGGCAAAATATGGTTTATGGGCATGTTATGTGTTTATATTATGCCTTGACGAAGTTAGTGTGTTAATTGCATGATTATGTTATGACATGCTTGAAAATTGTGTTGAATGAAGTGTTGATATATGCTAATGATATACTGACAATTGATGGATTATGAAAATTATATGCTTAGGATGTAATTATCCACGGTATGTGTTGAAATTGCTCATTTGACATTCATTGCATATTGGGTATGATGTTGGCATCACATTCATGGGCATTGAACATGAGTGTGGGTGTGGGTGAGTGTGCATGGTTAAATCAAACACCATACTTGATGGATGATGAGTGGGCTCAGAGAAAGTTGGAACGAAGTTCTGCTTGAGTCGCATGGTTGTATGAAAAATTTGTATCGAGTATAGCAAGAAGGGCTATATTCTCCCTCGGGTGCAAGACCCAGCTACTGGTTTATACACTTCCGACAGTGCAAGTCCAAAAAAGTGTATCGGTGTGCGGAGTCGGCGGTGCGACACCAAAAGTCCGCTACCCAACAAAGACACATGATTTTGTTTAATAAAATTGTTATTCGATGTGTAACATCAATGGTGGGGGCTTGAAATGTCCAGTTTTCACATATTGGTATTGCATTGTGTTGTGGGAGCCAGTGAGGGCTCGGGTCAAATTGCATGAGTGAGCCTCATCTCATTTCATGATTTGACATAAAATTCTTGTCATTGGATGCATATTCTTGATGAGAATGTTTTGAATGGTTGATTGTTATATGTGAACATTTTATATGCATCTAGGTTAGAGAATAGCTTTTTTAGGAGATACCTTATTGAGCTTGGTTAACCCTTTATAGGACAATATTTCAGGTGCAGGGTTCACACCGGTAGATGGCTCCCATTTCGAGCCTCAAGGATGAAAAAAACCGACTTGTGACTTTTATGACTCATTTTGTAAAAATCTTGTGAAAATTTTATTTTGGCATGTAATATATGAAAATAATTGTAATTGAACTTGTATGCATCATGTTTTATGTGAAAATTTTTATTAAACATGTATTAGATTGATTTGAAATGGATTGAGAATGGAAAACAGGGAAAATAGGCCAATCTGTCAAAAACCTTCTGAAAGGTCGATAAAAACCTTTCAGAAGGAATTTTCCAGTGGGCAAAATTTTTCGGAAGGCTTTTCAAAAATTTAGAAATTTTAAGAATGATTTCCTATGCTTCTGGGCCTTGAGCCTTTTTGTTCTAATGATGTAAATAGATGATAATTGATGTATATTGGATCTCGGATGGGTCATATAGTCGAAATGTGCACTGGTTATACGTTGAGAGTTCCCGGAACAAGGGAGACTCTGTCCAAACATCGTGTTTTAGTGATCCCAGTTAAGGGGATACTATTGACGTGATGTCGGGTTGTACGATGATTACGGGTACTTCCGCGGGTTGATGAGTGATCAACGGTTGATAAAAGGACTCCCGGTTTTAGGGGCGTCACACTTATTCACTCTCTCTCATTGTTTCTCCTGTTTTTGAGATGGTTTCGAATGCATTCTCTGGCTCATCGTGACCCTTGATGGGCCTCTCTCCCATGGCTCTCCTCATCATCGCAATCCATTCTACCCACTAGTCATATCTCTCTCTCACTCACTCTCTCCTTGAATCACCTTGGCCGCCTCATCAAGTATGGAATTCTTAGAGAAGGTTGCCTCAAAAGCTCATTTAAGCCCTGCAAGGCATGCATCCTTTTTATTTAGATCTAATGAGTTTTTTGTTTTTTACATTCTTTTTGGACCAAGTTTATGTACTTCTTGATGAAATTGTTATTAAGTTTATTAAGTTTAGTTGCAAGTATTGATTTGCTGTTGACTGTAATATAAACGGGAGCTAAAATTAAATTAAAATAGTTGTGTAATTAAACCATTACTTGAGTCGGATCTGACCGGATTTTTTGATCGGATGTCCAATTGTTAATGGATTCGAATATGTACATAAATATTTTAATACGTTGGATTAACGGATTGGATCCATATTGGATTTTTTTTAATCAGATTTGGATTAGGATCGACCGAGATCCGGTCCGGATCCAATTCATTGACAGGCCTAGTCACAATATTTTCTGTTCTTTCCTGTAACATCTGCATTCAATATTTTACTGCATCAAATCTGAGGCACAAGTGAATAATGTTGACCCATTGTAGATTAAAGAACTGGATGCGATTCATCGGTTCCCATTTGAGTTCCAGGACCTAGAGGTTCCTACCATTGAAGATGCATTGAAGGTATAATCTGGATTCACTTCTAAAATTTTTATCTTTCAATACAGAAAAAGAAAATAAGAGAAGAAGAAAGGCTAAATTTTATTCACATTTTTAAGTATCATTATTGTACTTGAAAATATGCATGTCAATCTTGGTTGACCATCATCAGTGGAGTTGTCTCTAATGTTACTTGAGACATATCTTGCCATGTTTAATTGTCTTTCATTGTTCACCTTTTCTGTTGCTCATGAGCCTTTTGACATGTTCTCTGATTATGGTCACTAATGATGTTTTCCAGTTGATATCAAGTTCCGTTCGGCAGGTAATTATTGATGTGAAAGTTGGGCCCCCATTGTATGAAAAAGGGCTCGCAAAGGATATTATTTCTGCTGTGAGTTCATTCTTTTTTTCCTCTAGTTCTGTTAACGCAAAATTCATGCTTGAACATGAAGGGCTATGCTCTTGAATATGCTAGATTTGATTTGTCCTTTTATTGTTTCGCAGAAATACTTTATACTGTATCTTATCTATAAGACACACAATGATGGGAAATATTGAATATTTAATGAAATGCAAGATCACAAAAAATGGAGATTATCCATTTGGATATTTGTTTCCAGAGGTAGGTGCAACCCGCTGTAATATAAAAGCAAACTAGGGGTAACTCGAGCCTGAAGACATGGTGCAACATAAATCAACCAATTAATTTGGAAAAGTGATGAGTGAAGATCCCTGAGAGCAGTTGTAGAGCCAAAAATATGATTTAGGGTGGACACATTTTAAACATAATAGATAAAAATAGGGTGATATATTTATATTTTTTATATTAAATTTGATACTTAAAAATTCATTAAACATAAAAAAGGTCTATTTGAAAAAAATTAATAAGATTACATTTATACATTAAGGATCAATAATATAATTTATTTGATACAAATAAAAACAATATTCTATAATTTTTAATCTTTTTATATATTCTATATTTTATTCATTTTTGGCTATATATTCTATAATTTTTGAACTAAAGGAGACTTCAACAAATCATACCAATAGTCAAAGGAATCAATTTTAGTTTACTAATTTTAAGACATTTCGTATGGACTTTTTGTTTTTGTTTTTATATTCTAGTACCCAACTTGTTTGATCCAATTAATTTTGTTTTTCATAAATCATTACAGTGAGTCCAACTAATTTAAAAAAATATATAAAACATGTATAATTAAAAAAATATTTTTTTTTTAGGGTAGCCCTAGCCCCTCTTCCCTCCACCACTACTAGAGAAAGAGTGAAGAGTGAGAAAAAGAAGATAAAATTTAATATGAATGGTATTGAGAGAGATTTTGGTGGCTGTTGGATGAGTTTATTTTAGACCGTCAGATGGGCTTGTTGACCCGCCCTGTTTTATATTATAGAATCTACAAAATATAATAGAATTGACTTAAAAAAACATTAATTTATATACATGTAATCAAAATTGAATATTAATTTGTATACATATAATCAAAATCGAGTCAAATTTAATACAAACTAAAAATTTAATTTATCAAAAAGCATATTGACAAAATATTTTCTATCAAAAAAAGATCTACAAATATTATTTATAAAATATTATTTTTTTAATTAGTACAAGTTATTAAAAAATTATTAATTTATAAGAATATATTAGAGTTGAGTTTTCTTAAGAGAAAAAAAAATAGTTTTGAACTTTTGATTCAAGACATGTGTAAGGCATGCTAGTTTGAGATAGTTAATTAAATAAACAAAATTAAAATTAATTATATTCAATATAAATGTGTTAAACAGTGTCCTTTTTTTTTTAATCGGTTAAATTGATGAGTTTTTTTTAATCAAAATATTATCATTGTCTTTTATACAATTTTAAAATGTTATATTACACAGTTGATATTAATGGCAAATTTGAATCATTTAATTATTATGTTAGAGAAAATCTTGTGATCCAAGTCAGCCGTAATCTTTGACTGGTTGGAAAGGAAAATATTAAGGAAAAAATGTTAATTTCTTGACCGTTGGATGAATAAATTTAAGACTGTAAGATGTGTTCTAAGATTAGCCGTAATCGTTGACTGGTTGAGAGAAAAAATATTAAGGAAAAAATGATAATTTCTTGACCGTTGGATGAATGAATTTGAGACCGTAGGATAGACATGTAGAAACCGTCCTGTTTTATATTATAGATTATAGATATAAATTTGACACAAATAAAGCAATATTCTATATTTTTTTTTAATTACAAATTCCATATTTTACTCATTTGGTTATGTATTCCATAATTTTTGAACCAAATGCGGTTTCAACATATCATACCAATACTCTAAATAATCAATTTAGCTTGCTAATTTTAAGAGATTGGTATGAACTTTTTGTTTTTGTTTTTTTGTTCTAATACCCAACTTGTTTGACCTAATTAATTTTGTTTTTCATAAATCATTGCAGTGGGCTTAATTAATCCAAAATATATATATATATATATATATATATATATAATTTATATAACTAAAAAAAAATATATTTTTTCTGGGTAGTCCCAGACCCCTCCATCTCTGCCACTGCTAGAGAGAGAAAGAGAGAGAGAGAGAGAGAGGGTGAAGAGTGAGAATAAGAGGGTAAAATTCAATATGAATGATTTTGAAAGAGATGTTGGTGGCCGTTGGGTGAATGAATTTTAGACCTTAGGATAGGCCTGTTGAAGCCGCTCTATTTTATATTATGGATATTATAGATAAATCCACAAAATATGATAAAATTAACTTAAAAAAAATGTTAATTTATATACATGTAATCAAAATCGAGTTAAATTTAATACAAACTACAAATTTAATTTATCAAAAAGCATATCGCCAAAATATTTTCTATAAAAAAAAGATCTATAAATATCATTTATAAAATATTATTTTTTAATTAGTACAAGATATTACAAAATTATTAATTTAAAAGAATATATTAGCGTTGAATTTCCTTAAGATATAAAAAAAATAGTCTTGAATTTTTGATTCAAGATATGTATAAGACATGTTAGTTTGAGATAATTAATTAAATAAATAAAATTAAAATTAATTATATTCAATATAAATGTGTTAAACAACGGCCTTGTTTTTGTTTTATCTTAAATAAATTGATGAGATTTTTTTAATCAAAATGTTATCATTGTGTCTTATATAAATTCAAAATATTACACTACACAGATGATATTAATGAAAAATTTGACTCATTTAATTATTATGTTAGAGAAAATCCTGTATTCCAAAGGTCAGTCGTAATCGTTGACTGGGTGGGAGGGAAAATATATGGAAAAAAATGTTAATTGCGTGACCGTTAGATGAATGAATTTGAGACCGTAAGAAATATTTCAAGATCAACCATAATCGTTGACTTAATGAGGGGGAATATCAAGAAAAAAATTATAATTTCTTGACTGTTGGATGAATGAATTTGAGACCGTAGAATCGGCTTGTTGAAGCTGCCCTGTTTTATATTATAGATGTAGTTGTTTGCCTGGATTAATATTTTGCAAGGGAGATCACTTTGTTATCGTTCTGCTAGCCAAAATAACACTGTTCTTATTAGAAGTCCAATTTTCAGGATACAATTTTCTTGACGCACTTGCAAACATGTTCTACATGATGGTAGGTGTCACAGGGGTCAAAATTACTCACAATTTTTGGGCTTTGTGATGGAACTAATCTCATCCAACCCATTGAAGAGGTTCTCACAGACAATTTCACAAAACAACACATGCAAGGGATTATAAGATAAAGTACAAGGGTGTGGTTAAGGGTCTGCTTACAAAATGTTTACCCTTTCTGTCTTAGGGTATTCTGCAGGCCATAGCAGTATTTAAAACCTAAAATGATAGTTATAATCCAATTGTCTAGACTATACTGCCACCAACCAACCTTGGCCAAGTAGACCATGCAGTTGACACCCCCATTTGCTAGGTAATGCTGGCAACATGCAGATCTCACTACAAGGGTCTGGGCTGGTGTTGTTTTCTAGCAAACCCCCCAGGCCATCTTAACCAATCAGAAACACCTTAACATTGCTGGAGCAGTTGTGTCCCATAACCGCCTAATGAGTCAGCCACCAACTGCCCACAACCGCTTGCACAATCAGTCAATGTCATCCTTGTCCATCTATAGAATCTGCTGTCTTAAAAAACATGCCAAGCCATGTCTAACTCTTGAGTTGGTCTTCAAAGCATGCAAGCCTCTTGATGTAGGCTCTGTAGAGAAAATAGAAAGAAGAAAGAAGATGGAAACACACAGAGTCTCTGTAGAGAAACACTTTTATTAATATCACTCTCTTTACCATGAAATAGTTGGGGTTACATCAATATTTATTGGCCAAGTCTCCTACTAAAATAAATTTATTCTCTTACTAAAATTCTAAAAGAGTTTTTTAATCAAACTTTTAAATTTTTATTCTACTAAAACTCTATAATAGTTTCGTAATCAAATTCTAACTAATACTCTTAGTCAGATAAATATTCCCTAACTAATATAATAATACTAAAACAAATAATAAAATTCAATTCTTCAATTTAAAATCATCCAATCCCTTTTTGATCATAATCACCACCTTGCTTAGCCCAATCGTTTCACGAAGTATTGCTTTTGTGAGGTTTCCACCCAGTGTTTTGAGAAGTGTGCCTAGGCACTCGCCTAGGCGAGAGGCGAGGCGAGGCTATCTCGCCTGGAGGACCCCAGGCGAAGCGAACGTGAGCAAAGCGAGAAAAGCGTTCGCCTTGCGCTAGGTGGAAAAGCGACGCTTTTGTTATTAGAAGCAAAATTGTTTTATTTTTAATTTGGACCGTTGTATTGGGCAATTGAAAAAAAAAATTATAAGATGTGATACACCGAATCATCCCCTTATTTGATAAATAAAATCCCAAACCCTAATTTAAATCAGATTTATTCGCTCATTGCTCACGCTAGACTCGATCGACAGATTTCTTGGCTGTGCATCGATAGATTTCTTCGTTGCTTATGCTAGACTCGATCGCTACTCCTACATGTGTCTTTGCTGCTTCTTGTTCACGCTGGAGGCTAGATAGAGTCTCCTTCCTCACTGATCTCACTGATTGTTGCACAGGTTAGTCTCCTTTTTTTTTTTCTCTTCTATTTTTTTTTTCTTCTTTTTTCTGGTTCTGGATCTTCTTCCTTGTTGCACAAATTTTGCTCCCCCTTTTTTTTTTTTTTTCCTGATTTTGATTCTACTTTTTTTTTTTTTTTTTTTAATTCTGCTCCTACACGATCGTTTCTGATTCTGATTCTGATTCTGATCCTTGCTGATCGTTGCTAATTAATAATATTTCTGCTCCTTTTTTTTTTCTTGATTTCCTGATTGTGCCCTAATTCTGGTTGCTTGAATTGTGTATCTTATGTTTTTAAATATTAGGATTTGATATATTATTAGTGTTTTTTTGAATTTAAATGTTTAAGTTATGACTGTTATTAAGATTTGAGATATTATTAGTGTTTGTTTTAATTCATTTGTTTATGGTTTTACTTGCATTTAAATGTTTAGTATATATAAAATTAGAACTTAGATGTGTATAAGTAATTAAACTAAAATATTTATTTATTTTTTAACTGTTCGCTTTGCTTCGGTAAATCGTTTCGCTTCGCTTTTCGCTTCTCGCCTAAGTGTTAGGAGCCTTGGTCGCTTCGGTTTGCTTTACGCTTTAAATAACACTGTTTCCACCAACGGTGAGTCCCACTGATGTCTAGGTCCCCCATTTTCTCGGCTCTCGAACTGGCGTGCCTTGCCAAACCCAACACAAGGTTTCTCAATGTCGTGCTTTGCTTTGGCATGCAAGGCTAGGGGAGCATTAGTGTTGCCAAGCCAAGTTCTTCTAAGGAAAACCCCCAATTAGGTAGAAAAACACAAGTGCTAGTAGTAAACATCAACATGTTGAGAAGCCATAACTATATTTATGAAACTCCTACTGTTGCACATGCCTTAGAATTTCTGAAGGACTAGCTTACCAATTGGCCTATTGGCCACGTGGATGTGTACTGCTCTGCATTTGACCTTGCCAATCACTGACCGAAGTGTTTCCAACCACTTGCACATTAACCTCAACACGTACCCAAGTCTTTTAGGAGCCATCTTTGTACTTTGGGAGTGCTCACCTAAGCACGTTCCCACTTAGGCTATGGCTTGGGGCACCATTGGGCAAACCACCCAGCATGCCATGGTCATGCCAATCTGTTAGGGGGCTAACTATGGGGCACATGTTCTATTGGTTTAGTTCACAATGTGTTAGAATATGTGGAATATTTTGATTAATGGGCATTCTTGTAATTTCTTCTTATGTGCTTAATAATATAAATAGGGAGGAGCATAGAATGAGAATATATCATTCCATTATCTCAGGAAAAACTCTCTTCTTTCTTATTTTCTTATTTTGTTCACAAACCTTAGAAAACTTCAACTATTATTTTTCAGCTTGCTATCAGAGCTTAAGGTCCGTATCTTATTGAAAAACACAAAAACTAGTTTTTGTGAAAGAAACAATGATACAACAGAAGGGTTGTTATTAGTGAGCAGTCATGATGACGTCAGCCGAACAAGGTTAAGAACCCCAGCCGAACAAGATTGTGGTTTAGTTCACAATCCATATGGGATTATGTTGCTCAGACTTATTCTCAGATGGGCAATGCAGCTCATGACTTGAAGCGTAGGATCCATGAGCACAAACAGAGAGATATGACTTTGGCTACTTATTATAATGTTTTGCGAGGACTATGACAAGAGTTGGATCAGTATCAAGTGTTTCAAGCTAATTGCCCCAGTGATGCCTATAAATTTAAGCGGATGGTGGAACAGGAGTGTAATTTCGAGTTCTTAGATGGTCTAAATATGGATTATGATCTGATTTGCATTCAGATTTTATGATGTGATCCTCGACGTTCTCTCAATCAGGTATTTGCTTATGTTCCAAGCAAGGACAACAGAAGGAATGCCATGATTCATTCATCATCCAAGAGAGATGTGCTCCTGTTTCTGCCTCTCAACAGGAAGGTAAATGGTTTAATAAGGGTCGTGATAGTGGTTGGGTTGTTAGTCCCTTTTCTGATGACAAGGATAAGGTTTTTTGTGATTATTGTGGCAAGTCAAGGCATTCTAAAAAGAGTTGTTGGAAACTTCACGTCTGGCTTGTTAGAGGTAGAGGGCAGTGTTCAAAGTATTAGTCGAGTTCAAGTTGACTCGGCCGAGTCGTATCTGCCTCGGCCCACATTGAACCGATACACGATATACAAAATTCACGATTCTCACTCGGATAGGCCTTGAATTGGGGACAACTTGGCAAAATCGATGCAACTCGTGTCCAACTCGGTTGGCTCAGATCAACTCGTCATTGAGACGGTTGAGTTGTAGTAGAATAACACGCCGACATGAAAAACCAACAAATGAAGGGCAAAATAAAAAAAAAAAAAAAGAAGAAAATCAGAATAGGAATAGGCAATCGAGATCCTACCAAGAAAATGAAGCAACTGGTTATGATGCCTCTTTCTTTTTCTTCTTCTTATTCTACTTTCCAGCGAATATCCATCGCAAATCAAAACTTGTAGATTGAAGTTTTGTCAATTCGCTAGCTTTGTAAGTCTCAGTTCACAAGCTCTTCTCCTCTCTGTTCGTCTCTCTCTCTTTGATCGAGACTCACAATAAACACAAACTCATGCCCCTTTTTTATTTTTAGTCTTTATTCCTTTATGTATGGTTAACTTTTTTTGTATATGTAGTTTTTATATAATTACTACACATATTATGTAATTACATAATTTCTGTATTTTCTAAAAATTTCTGGAATTAAAAGTTAGATTAAATCATATATACATTAACATAATAACATATTTATCAAATTTATAATTGATAGATGCATATTTATTTTTCTTGTTTTTATTTTGAATTTGTTTAAAAATATGTACCATATACTTAAAGTTTAATGTGTTAACTCATGTATTTTGGGAATATGATGCATGGATGATGATATTTACATGTTTTACAATTTTTCATTATTTTTTCAGAATTTTTTAGGCCTTCTATCTAGCATTTTGAGCATATCGACCGATATGTTTTAGTGCCGTTTGAGTTTATGATGGATACCACGACTTTGAACCATGGTATAGGGGGGTCGCCATGGAGGACTAACTATCTCCCATGCTCATCTTACTTCTGCCGACTCTTCAGCGCCTTTTTTAGCTTCCACTTTAGAGACTCCGAGTCTTTCTAAGGAGGAGATTGAGGCCCTCTATTGCCTCAATACTGTCACTGTTGCCTCCATATTTGCTCACTTAGGTATACATGCCAAGGTCTACAGTGCTTTTTCCTTATCTGGTAGTCCTTCTTGAATCATTGCTTCGGGGGCATTTGATCACATGACAAGTTTGTTAGGTTTGTTCTCTTCTTCTGATACTTATTTAGGTAAGGATGAAGTTAGGATAGCAAATGCATCTTTATCTTCAATTTTTGGAAAAGGTTCCATTTTAGTTTATTCTTTCATGTCTCCAACATCTATCCTACATGTTACTCTTTTTTCTACTAAACTTATATCCGTTAGTAGTATAACACCAAATCTTTAGATTATAATGTGACTTTCCTTCCAACTTATTGTGTTTTTCAAGACCTAGACACGCAGAGCACGATTGACAGTGGTAATGAGAGGAATGCTCTCTATCTATTGGGTTCTCGTACATCTGGATCCCTTGACAAGAGACAAGCCTTCCATTCTATTAGTTGTGGTGTTCGTTTATCAACAGATCAGCACATTTGGTGGCGTTATCGTCTTGGTCATCCTTCTTTTACCTTATTGCAGAGATTGTTTCCTGTTTTGTTTCAAAAGTTGAATGTTTTGCAGTTTCATTGTGAATTATATGAACTTGCAAAACATAGTTGTGTGTCTTCTCCTCTTAGTTTAAATAAAAGCACTTCATCTTTTGTTATTATACATTCTAATGTGTGGGGCCCCTCACGTATTCTTACTTTATTTGGATATCGATGGTTTATTACCTTTATTGATAATTATTCTTGTACTACCTGGTTATATTTGCTTCATGACAAGAGTGAAGTCTTTGCCTGTTTTTAAAAATTTCATAGCTTGATTTCTACGAAATTTGAGGCAAAAATTAAAGTGGTTCGGTCTAACAACCATGGTAAATATGTTAATGGTCAATTTAATTCATATTTGGATAGAAAGGGCATTATTAATCTGTTTGCTTGTGGTGGTACCCCACAACAAAAATGGGACACAGCTCAGTGTAAGAATCATCAATTGTTAGAGGTTGCCCATGCAATGTTGTTCACTATGCATGTTGATGGTCAATTTAATTTATATGTGGATTGAAAGAGCATTATTCATCAGTTGGCTTGTGGTGATACCCCACAACAATATGGCATAGCTAAGCGTAAGAATCGTCATTTGTTAGAGGTTGCCCATGCAATGTTGTTCACTATGCATGTTCCCAAAATGTTTTGGGGGGATGCTCTTCTTACTGTAGCCTACCTTATTAATCGAATGCCCTCTTGTGTTTTGTGTTTTAAGTCTCATATCAAGGTCTTGGGTTTTCCATCCTCTATGATTCCTATCCTCTATCCTCGTGTATTTGGTGTTTGTTTTGTTCATATTCATGGTCAGTTTCGGGTAAGCTTAATCTTAGGGCTTTGCCTACTTGTTGACAATGCGTTACTATGGATGCTACTTTTTTTGAGTCCACACCTGTTTTTCTGGTTCCAAGATTACTCTTTAGGGGGAGCCTAGGAGTGAAGAGTTCCTTGATTCCTCAACCCATATTGCAATTGGAGATCTCAATTTGTGAAGTAGACAAGGAGAAATAGGGTGCAGGAAATAAAGAGCAATTGACTTATTCGTGGAGGAAAATTGGCAAGACCACCAATCCATCTCATGCTAACTGGTAGTTGGATTCTTTTGGTCCAGGTAATGATTCTTCGGGTCCACGTAATGATTCTTTGGATCCAGGTAATGCTTGCCATCCTTATATAGTTCATTCTATTCCACCTGTTTTGGATGACACTGATCTTCTCATTGCAGTTCGTAAGGGAATTTGATCTTGCACTCAACATCCTATTTCAAACTTTGTGTCCTATCAGTCGCTTTCACCTTCCTATCATGCTTTTGTCTCTTCGTCTTCTATGTCTGTTCCACAAGATTGGAGAGATGCCTTGGCAAACTGTAAGTGGAAGACAACCAATGATAGAGAAAATGAGGGCTCTTTAAAAGTACGACACATGAAAACTTGTAGCTCTTCCTAAGGGGAAAAAAACAGTAAGGGTGCGAATGGGTATTCATTATAAAACATAAATCTAATGAATCAATGGAGAGGTTTAAACCTAGATTGGTGGCCAAGGGTTTCACTCAAACCTACGACATTGATTATCAAGAAACTTTGCATCAGTATCTAAGAGGAATTCTACTAGAGTATTTCTTTCTTTGGTAGCAAATTTGGGATGGTCTCTGCACCAGCTAGATGTGAAAAATGCATGCCTTCACGGTGATTTGGAAGAGGAAGTGTATATGGATGCACCTCATGGTTTTCCATCTCCAGAAGAGAAGGTTTGTAATTTAAGAAGTCTCTTTATGGTTTGAAGCAATCTTTTAGGGCTTGGTTTGAGAGATATAGAAAACCTATGCAAAAGTATGGGTATAAACAAAGTCTGGCTGGTCACACTCTCTTCATCAGACATAAACAAGGAAAGATTACTATGCTTATAGACTATGTAGATGATATTGTCATCATCTGTGATGATATTGAACAAATACAAGCTTTGAAATTATCTCTGACCTGAGAATTCGAGATAAAGGATTTAGGCAACTTTAAGAATTTTGTGATGTCTATGATGTAGAACGCGTGATGAAATTTTTGGCATTTTGTATCAACATTGTCAATGTCCTCCAATTAGGGTATTTATGAAGCTTTTAATTTATTGCCTAATTTAATTGGCAAGCTGTTTTATTTTATTGTCTAGTTTAATTGGGATTTTTTTATTTGTTCTTATTCCAAATTCAATTAGGGTTCTAGTTTCCTCATCTGATTAGGGTAATGCTATTATAAATAATCATGTAACTTATTGATCTCTACTTTTCCAATTGCTCTTGCATACTTAGGAGTCAACAGAGTAGTTGAAGAATCCTATCCTAGTGTTAGTTTTGATAATCAACTGGGTACGTTATTCTGTACTATTTTGGTTTGTTGAATCACGCTCCCTGCATCAGTCAATGTTAAAAGAACACATCTGTTTGTTTACGACTGCATGTTAATAAATAGAAATGGTAGGTATTTATGAAATCAATAGCTCTTATTGCCCTAAGCTGATGGGAATAGAACCCTATACTTAACATAAGCTGTCAAAACTGAGTTTTTGAAGGAAAGATGTTGGGTGTAAACAGTTAAAAAAGGCTGATTGATTCACTTGTAGTCGGTTTTTGGTGGAAGAATAAAGCCAGTAATTATTGTTATGCTTCAGATGACTGAAAACAACTAACATCATCCTCCAAGTAGGCTAAAATTATGCACATTGGATCTTATTCTCACTTGCCACCGACACTGGCTTCTGAAAGTTGAATTTAATCACATTTTCCTTTGACATCTTCTACTTGTGCAACCCACTCTAAAGCCGTTCCAAATCTTCCAGGTCGGGAGGACAGAGTGTAAGAACTGCCTTGTGTGGGCTAAAAGTGACAATTTAGCCAGGGACGTGATGAAACTCTCATCAGACACTATGGTAAGAACCTGTTTAGAACCATTTTCCTCTTGTTGGTATTTATCTTCTTTGGATACATGTACTTTTTTATCTCTTCATTCCTTTCTTATCGAGATTTTTTGTAATTGGAATGTGATTTTCTCATTTTTGATGGGTGAATGCTGAATGTTTGACCACGTAAACTGAAGAAACATAATTGAGTTATTACATTGTTGGTTGGGTCTCTTGTGAGATCCCGTTGTCTTCTGCTCATCCGTGGTGTAGATATGTTTTGACTGGCCCATTGAGCTTTGTCTTCGGATTCATTTGTTTACCTCTGCATAATTAGCCCTTAAGAATTTGCTTCTCTAACAATTTAGTTTTAAAAAAACTCTGCAAACACTCGCCATTACATGTAGAGATAAGGTTCAAATAGTACTCTTCGCTGGCCGGCCACATTCCGTTGCAGTATTTGTACCAGTGGCATGGATGGATTAGTGTATATTTTTCGTACATCTTTAGCCATGAAACTGGCAGGATTTGAGCTTATTCGGATGAATATAAGAAATATCTCCTTTTTTTTTTCCTGGCCGACATTTCTCTCTACTGAGATTTTGTGCTTGTAATACTGAGCTTATGACTGTTCATATGCATATTAGTGGTGTATGTGATTTTGTAGGTAGGCTATATTGTCATGAAAGATCCGTCTACTGGGGCTAGAAGTAACCTATTGAGGATGAGAGGTGCTGGTGTTGTTGGTGTTTACCACCCTTTGATTGATGAGAAACTGGTGAAAGTTCTGCATGGGTACGTATTCTGCTTGATTTCTTTACCCATGTTTTTGGGATAGCTGCCCGCTGTTTTATTTACATTTGCATAAAGAACATGCGTTTTCTGATGACGATGTTGTACTCATCATTTCAAAAGACATTTTCATCAATATTTTGTGCCCCCTCATTTTACTTACTTTGCAATCACGACTTTGAGAGTATGAGCTTTTATAATGAAGATGATATCTGAAATGGCGTTTAGATTTGTGATTTAAGTTTGAAACTGCACGTATTTAAGAAAAATGATTACTGAAGGCATGGGGTTTGGTAAGAAACCCCACTTGCATGCGTACATAGGTGCACTTCCATGTTTAACGTGCTAGATGTGGACAGGAGGAATAAGAAGGTATATGCCTGGACTGTTGATGATGAGGCCTCCATGCATAATATGTTGTACAAGCGTGTCGACGCTATTATCACAAGCAACCCCACCTTACTTCAGCATTTAATGCAAGAGATCAGAACACAATGCCTCGACGAAGGCATTTCTTTGTCATCTTGAGCACTAAAAAAGTTCCGATTGTCAAGCTTGTACTAATGTGGATATCCTTTTCTTTCACATTTTGTGGGTGTTGAAACATTTTGTTGTATACGGCCTTTCTTTTAACAACTTGGCTTAATTAGGCTGACTGGTGCTTACTTTTTTTATGGGTAATTTATATTTTACACCTCCATGTTTTAAAAAATTATACTTCACCCATTAAAGTTTAGGATTAAAGTATAACATATAAAGAGGTTAACAATTTAGCATAAAAAGACAATAATATGTTTTATTTTTTTTAAGTATTTTTTTTTGTAAGAATTTTGAAGGAAAGCGTGAGAAAAAAAATTGATTTATTTTAGAAAGAGAAAAATAAACAATATAGATACGGGCATACAAGTTAATTTGACATGTTCTGTAGAACACACTGGATTTAGCTGGTAACCCATATCCCTTCATTCTTGTTGCTAATGGAACATAACAAATGAAAAATTGTCATTTAAAGTTCTTTGGTAAGGTTTGAGATTCTTTTAAGTACCAATTTTCTTTAATTTTTGATAAATAGGTAGGAGAGATCAAACATTGAATACACCGAGGAAAATTAATAGTAGAGAAGGTCCGAATGCGTTTTGATTTATATATTCATTCTCCAGGAGTAGGTTAGAGTTCGATGGTCACAACTTGGCTCGATAGAAGTGGGAGACTGTATTTATTTGCTAGACAATTTTTGTCTAAAATGTCAATATCTGATAAGAACCATTTATGTGTTTTTCTGTTTATGGGTACGACGGAATTGAAGAAAAGTTACATCGCAATGTAAAAGGAATTAAGAAATCCCTAAACCAATGAACCATCGTCCTTACTTTTTTTAATATTTTAAATCCATTGATTCTTAATATTATTTGACACTCCAAACTCCCATCACATTGTGCAACAATTTTCTCCCTGAGTTCGTCCTCTTTTGACATCTTTTATTTTCTCTCCCATGTCTATATGTAATACAGGACTGGAGCGAATATAATATGAAAAATTGAAGGGTGAAGCTATTTTCATCCCTTAAATCTCTTTTTTCATCCTATTTAATTTTCTTATTTTAGATTGCTAAGTTTACTCCATCTATATTCACCCATCAATTACTAAATTTACCCTATTTGTATTCACAATTAAAAATTAAATTGATTTCATTCTATTTCAACATACTATATAGGCAATGATTAAAATTTTGTTTTGATGTATTATTTCGGTACAAAAATATTTCACAAACATAATAAAAATTAATAAAAAAATAATACTTTATTTTTAAATATTTATCAAAATATCTTCAAACACCTCAAAATATTTCGAAGACATTGGTAAAAATGTTAAAATATCTCAAAACATCTCAAAATATTTTAGATCACCTCGGAAACATTGAAATTTTGTTTTGGTTTTTTTTTTAAAATATATATTTAGCAGTTTAATTGGATGGTATGGGGTGGTAGAGTATAAATGAGGTAAATTTAATAGTTTAAAGTAAGAGCATTAAATGAGGTGGAAATTAAAATTTAAGCAGTAGGAATAGCCCCATCCAAAAATTAAATTTACAGAAAAAAGTGTTAAGCACAATTATAAAGCCGTGAAACCTTGCATAGTTGTTTCTCATGGGTGATCGTTGTGCTCATAAAAATAGGTTGGTTTGATCATATATAATTCAGAAACGTGATAATTTTTTTAATATGACAGGTTAAAACTACACTAAATTTGTAAAACCCAAGCATGTTTGTGTACGAAAAATATTTTAGGAAAATAAAAAAAATAGGAAAATATTTTATAGTGCATGTGTTTATTATGTATGTAATTAAAAAAACTAAATTAAAAATTAAAAAAAATCAGATTTGAGGTATTTACGAAAATACATTTGCATAGCATTTCGTTCCAAGCTGCTGTCTGGCAGTTCCAGGCTTTCCCAGCCTTCTCCAAGCCTCTAGAATATTTTAAGATGATCTTGAGCCTTTACTTAGAGCTAGGAATGAGCAGAAACTGGTTAGAGGAGAGAGAGAAGAAAGAGGTAGAGAGAGAAAACCTTCACTTAAATTTTTAGGTTTGCTTTGGAGGCTTATTCAAACACTCAAAGATATACCTCTAGCCTAATTTGGATGCTAGTAATTTATTGATGTTATTAGTTTTTGATTCGGGTAAGTGGTTATGCTCGAATTTGAGTTTTAAAATTTCAAATTTTAGGTTTTTATGAAATGAGTCTCAGAAAACGAGACATTTTTCTTTAATTGATTCTTGAGTTTTGTTTTTGGGTTGTTGTAGAGTTGTTTGGGAGTGGTTTTAAGGGTTGTCGTGGTGTGTTGGTGGGATGAAGAAACCCTCATGGGTTTGAATCTTAAAAATTTTGATTTTTCATAAACCTTGATTAAGCTTTGAAAGGAGGCTAGGTCTAGCTAATTTGGGGTCAAGAAATGCACTTTCGGCTTTAAAAATTGAATTTAGAGGTTATTTGAGGGGTGAAACGGGCAGTTGCAGGTCTGACCATATGTTAAAAACTTTATTTTTCTTAGACATTGGCTTAGTTTTTTGAGGACTTTAAGCTTAATCCAAAGCTTGAAACCTATAGGGTTTCACAGTAGGGTGTGAGATGAGTTAGTAGGCTTTGAAAATAGAGCAAAATGTGTAGTGTGGAGTGAGAAATAGAGGTGTGATGTAGGGTACCTAATACAGAAAGTGGGGAACCTATGGTTCGCTAGAGGAAGAAGATGAAGTGGACTAGAGGACAATTGAACACCCTGACGGTGTGTGAGGGTGCGTTCAATGTTTGATCGACCTCTGATGGGTGCCAAAAGTTCTGTAACGTTCGTGTGGAGGTCCTAGTAAAATTTCAAGTTGATCCGATGGTCAAATCAAAATGAAGATTAAAATTACTGTTTTGGCCTCCGGGGCCATCCAATTTTTTGGGTGATTTTGGAAAATAAATTTTATATTCATTGTTAGGTAGGTTAATTGAGTATGTATATAAGATTTCATTGAAAAATAACATTGTTTTATTTTTAGTTGTTTCAGATCGAAAAGTAGTGTAGGGTAAGGTTTCTCAATTCTGGATTAGTGGAAGCTTTTCAAATTCATTTTGACATCATGTCAAACATTATATATGAATGTTTAACATATTTTAAAACTTATGATTGATTATTTTGAATTTGGACTGGAATTCATGGATCCAAATTCGGGTTTAGAGTGCGGTACCACACAGTAGTCCGAAATGATGGATTTGACTGTATAAAATGAGAACTAATTGTAAGTGCAAATATGTTGAGTGACAACAAGGGTTTACGTTCTAGTTTAAAGTTGTAGAGGATACTCATTGAGTTCGTAAACGTTTGAGTGGCCAATTAGTCTTCAGATTCTGAGTGCTGAAGGTAAGTTTTGGTGAATACGAAACGTCACGAAATATATTCATATGCATTCATTTGCACCAGTTAAGTTATTTTTGAGTCGATATTCATTTGGATTCATCCATGTGTTTACTGTTAGGGTTGGAGGCTACTACCACGGTTCCACATAGGGATCGACCGTAAAGAAATGAGGGGTATCTGTCAGTGGTAAATGTGAAGTGTACTTCTTCATAATAATTAAAAATAAAGTATAGGATATATCAAGTTTATTATCTAGTATGTGAGAAATCAATTTTGCCCAATTGATTTGTGTTGAGTCGCTTAAACTATGGATTAACTGTGTTTTTGTGAAAAACTTGTAATTTGAGTATTATCTACTATGCCGAGTTTTTGATAACTTTACTTGACTTACATGGTGTTGATTTAGACACTGTGCAGTTGTCATGAAATAGTTTGACATTACTTAAATGTTGTTGATAGTCTAACATTGCTTATATGTTGTTGTTTGACTCGCTGCTTATGTGGATATTTAATATTTTGATATATGAGGTTGATTTGAGTTTCAAAGTGAGTGGAGTTCACTTTGGTTGTGATTTGCGAGTTATGTGTATCTTTTGGATAGAATTATTTTTGATCCATGTTTTTGTTTTATTTTCTTTGATTATGATGTTTAGTACACTTAAGAATATTATTGGTTTCTGGATTCCGAAGTCTAGAGTGTGGTCCACTACTGCACTAGGATGGTAAAGATAGGGGAAAACTAAGGAATCTAGTTTATGTACATATTGTGCAGGAGTGTTTTTCCCAGTTGTTTGTTATAAAGGGGTGAAATTCCTAATATTTTATTTTGGTACAAATGACACTGTTGTGTACTCTGTTATACAATTTATCTATTTTTGGTGTAATTAGGTGACATTATTGATTTTAAATGTGTGATTGCATTACAGACACATCTGTTGCCATGTGTTGAGTTACACTTCTATCTTTGGGAAACCAAAGAGTGTTTCTCGTGATGGGGTGTGGTAGTTTTTAGTATCAGAGCTAGTGTCTATAGATTCTGTAGACATGTTAAAGTCTAGCACTAGTAGTGGACCGTAGGAAGTATGTTGGTGAGTCGATAAAGTGGATACGTGTTTTTAGTCATGTTCTAAAATGTCTAGTGATTGCATGCATGTGCATATTATTTTATGTAACTGGATTTGAATTCTAGATATAAAGCAATGGAACCAAAGTACTACATTAAGGAGGTAGAATTTGATGCATTTGATTCAGTTAAGGGGTCAGTTCGATCAAATCAACAAGCCTATAGTGGATCTCATGGTGTAGAGGAACAATATGATTCAAGAGTGAGAAAGAGTAGAAATCTTGAGTGGGAATTAGCACAAGTTGAAACGAAAAAGTCCCGTATTTCCTTGTTAGAGCATTTTAAGAAACTCCGCCACCAAGTTTTGTGGGGTCAATAAACCCAGCTTAGGCGAAAAACTGGAAAAAAACTATGATTCGTATATTTGATATAATGCGCCCAACGGATGAACAAAGAGTCAGTTTTGCTACCTTTATGCTCATAGTGAATACTTTAAATTGGTGGGAGGATACAAAGAGATTGCTGACTACCTTGACACAAGGAGCTCAGGATGTAGCTCTAATAAAGGTTTCTTAGGCTATGTTTGAGAAAGCGTTTGATGAACAATATTTTTTCCAGTCATACTAGTATGAGAAAGAGCAAGAATTCATGGAATTATCACAAGGGAAGATGTCCGTAGCTAAGTATGAATCTAAATTCTCAACATTGTCTCG